GTAATTCTATTTAGTATATATTCTTCATTAACAAAACTATATATTGTATTTTTTAAATAAATAAGTGCAACCATAAATATTGCTTTGTACATTTGTTTTAATTCTATTTTAAAAAGCGCGCCTTTTAAAATCGTATGTGCTGCCAGCTACTTCAGACGAATAGAACTAATTGTACAAATCTAAACAAGAAATGTCACGTTGACAAACGTCAAATGTAAATATCAAGAAGTATTTATAAAATGTAGTTTTTAATATTTGTTAATTATTGTTTTAAACAAAGTGTTTTTATGAATAATTAGATAATTATATAATATAAAGAAAAAGTTCATTAGCAATGTCTGTGTATAATATATTAGATGATGAAGACTTATCCACTGATGAAGGCATTGAAAAGGCTTGCCGAAAGATATCATCGGCAGAGGTCAATATATAAAATACATGACAAAATGATTTAAAAAATATGTAATAACTTATATGTCCCTCATTTCCATCAGGATCAAATAACAAAACAGCTAGAAAACCTATTATCACGACAAAATCATATAGAATCTAAGTTAATGTCAATAAGCAAATCTAAGGCCGGTTTGCAGTTAATTCATCAAGATTCTTTAAATTTGCAGTCTATGATAACACATACAGCTACTTTAGCTGAAAATGTTAGTGCAAAAGTTAGACGACTTGATGAAGCTCGGGTATGTCCTTTAAAAAATTATAATAAAATTTATTTATATATAACTGTAGTTTGAAAAAGTTCTACAAAAACAACTATAAATCATCATGCAATACTCTTACATATTTCTAATATCATAGATTTAATTTAGCAGAAATTTTTGTAACATATAGTGGTGAAGATCACTGTGATTAATTAAATAATAAGCTGACTGTAAATTATAAATATTCCATCACCATAAGATATCTGAATAAAATTACTGTTTAGTTTACAATATATATTGATCTTCACTCTACAACCTTTTTTTTTTGTGTTACTTTTGCTAGTTTCTCTTATTATTATGAATTACAGGTATTTATACTCATACAATTGTATCCCCTGCCCCTGATTATGATAGGGGCTAATAGAAAAAGCCCTGGTCAAATCTTGACCATATAGTATAACTATTTATTTTTCATTATTTCAAAGATCGCATAAAGTTATATTTTGCTTTGTTTAAATACATAGATTACTATTTCTATATTTCATTAAGTATTTTAAATTTTTATAAGTATTATAAAAATACACAATTAAGCAGAGTACACTTTGATGCAAGTAAATTAATTATATAATAGGATCTATTACTTAAAGAATGGATTAATATTAATATATAAACTTTAATTATAAAACAGGGCAAATAAATTCAGTTGTTATCCTTTTTCATAACCAATCATCCTACTTTTCATCATTAATTTGGCAATAAGTGATTGGTATAATTTATGATTATAGAGTAGAGTATCAGAATGCCAGCAACGAGTTAATGATCTAATTGATTTACAAATATGCAGTGAAGGTGTAAAATCAGCACTAAGAAATGAAGATATGAGAAAGGTTTGTACTAAAAATTTGTTTTGTTATAACATATTATTTACATTTTTGTTATTATTCTTAGGAGCTGGCACACGTTCATAGATTTTTATCCATGGATCAAAGCCTTCTGCAACAAACGGCTACAGATGTAGCAGAAAATACAACGAGTGTTCTCAAGCGTTTATACATTGCAAGAAGCTGCTGTACAAATAAGGTAATATTAAAATGATTTAATTGGAATTATATTAATATTAAATTATTAACATATCTAAACAAATATTTAGATCGGTTTGTATAACACTGAAATTCAATGAAGCTGTAAAAAAAGATGATTTGGCTTCTGTTGAAAGATTTTTTCAAAATATTTCCATTATTAGGAATGCATAATGCAGGATTGGAACAATTTGCTTTATATTTATGCACACAGGTATTTATAAAACTACTCAAAATAATAAAAACACATGCTAACATATTCTAATATTTTTAATTGTATGAACATTGCAAGTTTTTAATATCAAGTTGTATATTTTATGCAGATTCAAGAAACTTCTCGAAATACCCTTAAGAACAGTCTTTGTACAAATCTAATGATTCAAGATATAATATTCTTTTTGCTGATTGTCTCACTGTTGTCTTGGAATCTATAGCTCGTGTTATTGAGACACAATCAGTTCTTGTTGAAACATATTATGGACCAGGTTTACTTATTCAACTTTTCACATGTTGTACAAAAAGAATGTGATCGACAGGTGAGATCATTAACAAATTCAAATGGTAAAAACACAAGTATCTGAATCAAAATTTTCTTTGAAATAAAAATACATAAATGATGAATTTTTTATTGTCTTTACATTACACTAGTTTTTCTGGTTTATAGGTAAAAAAATAATAGAGGAATTTATTAAACTTAGGAATATAAAACGACGTAGTATGCAAATTAACTCTTACATGAAAAATCTTCGAACTCAAATGCTGCCAGAGGTCACCACTCGTACCAGTTCTTCACTTGATTAACTTAATCCAAAGGAGTTAGATAATTTAATTGCAGAGTGTCTTTAATGCATTCCAGAGCTGAGCTTTATCTGCGTTTTATTAAGAAAAAAATTTCGGTAAGCTTTGAAAAAAATGTGTATTGGGTATATATTTCATTAGAATAATTGTTTTTACTTTTTAGAATGATATAGAACTGGGAGTAACCGATGAAGATTTGCGCAAGACACAACTCAATACTTTAAATAATGTTCTTAATTCATGTGAACTCAATATGTGCATGCAAGAATTACTACTCGGAGTGTATTTGTTACTAGAAAGGTAATTTTTTTTTCTAGAAAAATGTTGTTACTCATTAACTTCCCGAAGGAGAAGTTTGTTTTCATTCATCATCAAAATCCGATTCTCTAATTTATGTTTTCTCGACGTTTCAAGCCATTCTGAATCGAATGAGACCAAATTTGGAAAAAGTGTGTGTGTGTGTGTGTGGTGTGCATGTATGTGAACGTATTTTTGGCCGTAAATCGACGTTTTCTCGAAAACGGCTAGATCGATTTCAAAAATTTAAAAGCCATTCGATGTATCTCGATGAGGACTATTATTTGTCAGTTTTGTACGGCGATCGGCCAAGCGTTTCTTTATAAATCGCAGAAAAGTGAAAATTTTGCGTCTACGTTTTAGCCCGCAATTCTGAATCGATTTGAAAATTCAAAAACCGTTCGAAAGATATTGGTTGGGAATCGTGCTGATTAGTTTTTTGTAGAGATCGGCCGGGACGTTTCTTGTAATAAAGTTTAAAAAAAAAAATTCGACGATTTTTATGATTATTTTTTTGACGGTAGATACCATAGTCTTCTAGATCATACTAAAATATTACGGGCCCTACGACAACTGGTTCAGCTTTAAAAATTTGCCAAAGTTTGCAAAAATTGGTATTGTTTTTTTTGGCATTTGTCAAAATTAGACTTTTGATCGACGTTTTCTCAAAAACGCCCTGAACGATTTTAGAAATTTAAAAGCCATTTGATGTATTTCGGTGAGGACTATCGTTTATCAGTTTTGTGCGACGATCTGCCAAGCCGTTTCTTTTCTTGTAATTTGAAAAAAAGTGTTAAACTTTTCGTCCACATTTAAGCTCATTCTACCGAACTGATTTTAAAAAATCCATAACTGTTCGAAAGATAATAGTTGGGAATGGTACTGATTAATTTTAGGTGAAAATCTACTGAGCCGTTTTCTGTAATGAACTGTTAAAAAAAAAATTTAAGCCGATTTTCATGGAACTTTTTTTGGCGATATACATCATGGTCTTATAGAACTTACTGTAATGTTACGGCCTTACGACAAGTAGTTTAATTTTAAAAATTCGTCAAACTTTGCTAAAATTATTATCGTTTTTTTTTAAAGTAGGATTAATGAAGTATATTATTTTCACTTTTTTGATTAAGTCGATTATTTACACATATCGGGAAGTTCATGTAACTTGCCTCAAGGCTAAATACCAAACCAACTAGTTGTAATTTTTTTTTTAAAGATATTTCATGGAAGAAACTGTTTTGAAAGCCATCAACTTAGATTCTTTAGACGGGACTCAGCACTGTTCAAGCATGATGGATGATGTTTTCTTTATTGTTAAGAAATGTACAAGGCAGGTTAAATAATTTTATGAAAATAATAGAATGAGAGTATTTTCTATTATTATTATAATATAATTTTTATAGGAGGTCCATTGCTACATCCAGTATCGATGGCATCTGTGCCATATTAAATAATGTGACTGGATGCTTAGAAAGAGATTATAGTGCTGCCTTAAAATCAACATTGCAAAATGGTTATCCATCAGGGTATCTTGATCTTGCATATAGTGCTTTGCAGACATCTATTCAACAAGGAAGACTTCACGGGCAAGGAGATAGTGAGCAACTAAGAAATAGATTTATAGTAAGATTGCTATAATTCACAACAATTTTCTATGTGTTTTTACCTGTTATTGATGTTTGATTAAAATTTTAGGCTCATCTAAATAATGCAGACACAAGCTCAGAGTATGTTGATACTTTAGGATCTACATTATTAAATGACATTTTAACAGCCTATCCTAATATATCTACGAATGATCGGGAAAAAGTGGATAGTTGTTTGGCAAGTCTTTCAAATGTTACAGCAACATTTAAAGCATTGGTCGAGTTTGGTATGCAACAATTGCGAGTCAGCGTTATCAAACCAAGAGTTCATCCTTGGATTGATGTATTTTTAACAAATCCACATCACTTTACTGAAGTAAGTATATTATTTTTTAAAATAATAATAATTAACGAATATAAATCTGAATTTGTTTAATTGAGTTATTAATGATTTATTAAGGTGAATAAACTTTTAATTTCTCTTTACAGGATGAGTTAACAGCATATGAAGCTGGAGAAACCTTTATCCAAACATTGATTGTAAATCTTGATGGTTTGTTAAGTTCTTTTAAGCATTGCTTAACAGCAAATAATTATGATTCACTTGTTGCTACAGTAACAAACGATGTTACAACTAGAATGGAACGTGTTATTTTAAAATCTACCTTTAACAGGGTACGTAATAAAGTTTTTTTTATATCAATACGACAATCCAACAATCATTTTTGCATTTTCTCAATTGTCTTCTATTATTTTTAGCTTGGTGGTTTAGCTTTAGATCGTGAAGTAAGATCTTTAGGGCAGTATCTGACAAGTGCTACAAGCTGGTCAGTTCGTGATAAAATGGCACGATTAACACAAATAGCAACATTGCTTAATTTAGAGAAAATAACTGAAGTCAATGAATATTGGGAAGAATCAAATGTTGCATGGAGAATCACCAAACCGGAATTAGCAAAGGTGTTAATGTTAAGGTAATAATTTTATATTTTAATTTATTTCCTTATGAAATATATGTATCACATTTTTCTTAAATTTTAGAACTGATTTCCGGTTAGACGATATAAAAAAGCTGAAACTATAACAGAAAGAGCATTTATTATTATAAATTAATACTATTATTTGTTAATAAATATATTAATATAAAAACCTAACAGTTTTTTTGCTACTGCAATTTTAATCCATTTTTAATATCTCACATTAAAACATAAATGGAACCATAAAAATATAATTCAAAACTGCTCTTTAAGGATCTAAATTAAATCATTGCCCCTTTACTCGTTCGACAATGGTTAAAAAGTTTCTTAAGTTAAAAATATCATTTTAAATTTGTAAAAATGTTGATTTTAAAAATAATAATAAATAATCTGACTGAAGGAAAAAATACTTTTTAGATAATGGATCAAACATTTTATAAATAATAAAATTATTATACATTGTTAGGTTTTTTAAATTATTTTCCACTAATGGGTACAGAATCCGATCTAAAAGCTGGACAATAATTTTATTTTAAAGTTTTAAAAAATCAACAGGGTTTTTAAATCAACGGATTATTTTAAGGACGAGTGTGAGGATCATATTTCCTAAATTTAATTAATTTTGATGTTGCTGAATACAATTTTAATCTCTAACGGCGATCACAGAATCGAAAACTCGAAAACAAAAATTCAATAATAGAATTATACAATGTATTTTGTAAACATGTCCGTGCATTCCTGTAATTATCCAAGGTTGAAACAATAACGCCATTGAATTTTATTTTTATTTATTCATAGATTGCAATTTAAAATTCGCAATAAGTGAATGTAAGAACTATTCTATGTTTATATTATGATCACCGATTGTTTCATCAATTAATCGCGTTTTGTTGATACAAAGTAATAATTCTTTGTGTGGTATGTGTTTATTAAGAGGAAAAATGCTTTCATATAGCAATTTATAATTTTGTAATTATTATTTAGTATTTGATATATTAACAGCCAATAATGCGTCGAATAATAAAATAAAAAAAAGAATTACTTATTTGTACTATTTTCGACACAAGATTTGTGTTATTTTTCAGTTGAGACAAAAAAAAAATGGTTCACATTCACACATACACACACACATACGTTCTCCAAATTTCGTCTCATTCGATTCAGAATGGCTTGAAACGTCGAGCAAGCATAAAATTAGCAAATCGTAATATTTGATGAAAACATAAGTTTGTCCTTCGGAAAATTAATAATGTTAGATGAATTAAATAATAAAACTAGCTGTAAGTGGAATTCTGTCTTGAGGCAATTGTGGCATCGTGCCTTAAAGCAAATTGCTGGAACTTCCCGTACCGTAACGAAATGTTCGAGGAATACTGAATGTTTTCAAATAGATTATTATAAATATTGTAACATCGGACGCTTAGTTCTCTCAAAAACTGCCATTTTTTACATATTTAGCCCCGTATCTTCAAAATGGCTGGGCCTGCCTTTGCCAAAAACTAATAAACACTTCTCCCAATCATTACTAATTGAATGTTCTTTAGATCATTCAAATCGGATACTCCGCTCTCTCAAAAATTCGATTTCTATTTTCTGCACTCTTTGCTCCGTATCTCCGAAACGGCTGGACCTGCCTTTGCCAAAAACTAATCAGCTCTTTTCCCTATCAATAGGAATTGAATGTTTTTTGAACCATTCAAATCGGTTGATCCGTACGCCCGAAAACGTGGGCGAAAATTTGTATTCATACATACATACACACACACACACACATCCATTTTTTCTGAAGTATGCCAAAATGTTCAGAAACCTTCAAAACGTCGAGAAATGTAAAAATTTTCAATTCCGATTTTCGGCCCATTACAATAACTTACCCTACGGGAAGTTAATATGTTGTGTTGTTATACAGCTAAAATAAAAATATAACTAGCTGTAAGTGGAATTCTGTCTTACGGCAATTAAGGCATCGTGCCTTGAGGCAAATTGCTGGAACTTCCCGTACCAAAAATTATTATTTTTTTAAAAACGATTAACATTTTTGAAAAAATTTTACTTCGAAAAAATGAGATTTTTTAGAAATTTTAAATTGGACAAAAAATTACTTTTTTTGAAAATAATTTTTTTTTTAAAAAAAAATTTTAAACAATTTTTTTTATAAAAATTTTTTTTTGGAAAAAATGTTATCTTCATTTTGATATATTTTGGAAGATCTGAACTTTTTTTCAAAGCAATCGTACTGCTTTAACTGCATAGAGACAAAATATAAAGCGCGTAAGCGCCGCGTCGCTGTCTAACAGAAAAACAATGGTACGGAACCCATAGGAATGTAAACAAAACTTATACTTATTGTAAAAATCTCAATAAAATATCTGATAATTTGATATGCATATGTCTAATGTCTAATGATTATTGTTGACCGCCAAATGTTATTTTTTTTTAGTTTTTTTTACTAGATCTCCGAAACCGCTAGTCCTATCTTCATGAAAATTTGATCAAATCTTCATCTTGTTAATACAAGTAAAATGTTTTTTGAACTATACAAATCGAACGCTCCGTTCTCTTAAAAACTGAGTTACCGTTTTTGGCCGTATCTTCGGAACGGCTAGAATGTTTTTTGAATTATTCAAATTGCTTTCCGTGTTCCCGAAATCGTCGACGAAAATTTGTATCCGAACACACACACATGCACGCACACACACACTCACACATACATCAATTTTCTCCAAGGTATGCCAACATATTCAGAAACCTCTGAAACGTGAAGATATATAAAAATTTTCATTTTCGATTTTTTTGCGATTACTTACCCTATGGAAAGTTAATTATAAATAAATCAATTTATGATCTCCAGAACATTAACAATCGTCATTTCATTTCGAATCAAATTCCAAAAAAAAATAGTTGCCAAATTTACACAAAATTGAAAAAGTGCTCCCGCATAGTCACAGTCTAAACGCATTTGCAAATAATTCTGTGCGACATTTACACTTATACTGTGCTCAGTTTGGCGGCATTTTCACATTTTTCAATAATTTTCACAAAATTGGAAAAGTGCTCCAGTACACAAACAGTCTAAACGCACTTGCGTAAACACTTCTACCAGAGTGGCGCTTAGACTGTGCTTAGCTTGGGTGATTTTTTGAATTTTTAGTCCAAAATTACAAAAAAATTTTTTTGAAAAAAAATTAGAAACAAAAATTTTTTTTTTCCAAAATCAATTGTTTTGTTGAAAAAAGCAGAAAGTTCTTTGAATCATTTAAATCGGACGCTTAGTTCTCTCAAAAACAGCCATTTTTTTTAAATTTAGCTCTGTAACTCCGAAACCTCTGGGCCTACCTTTGCCAAAAACTAATCAGCACATCTCCCTATCAATAGGAATCGAATGTTTTTTAAACCATTCAAATCGGTTGATCCGTTCTCTCAAAAATTCGCTTTCTATTTTTTGCACTCTTTGCTCCATATCTCCGTAACGGCTGGACCTGCCTTTGCCAAAAACTAATCAGCACATCTCCCTATCAATAGGAATCGAATGTTTTTTAAACCATTCAAATCGGTTGATCCGTGCGCCCGAAAACGTGGACGAAAAAACGCGGACATACAAAACACACACACACACACACACACACACACATCCATTTTTTCTGAGGTATGCCAAAATGTTCAGAAACCTTCAAAACGTCGAGAAATGTAAAAATTTTTGATTTCGATTTTTGGACGATTACTATAACTTACCCTACGGGAAGTTAATATTGGTTGCATTACTTAAATAATAAATAATATATAGAATATTTAAATCCATCTACACCAATCAGGAGAGTTTTGAAAATATAAAATTAAAATAATCTCAAAAATGTAAAATTGGTTTTAAAATAAGTATCATAACCCAGAAAACTTGAAACTTTTAATTTTGAGTTTAATCAATTTTTATATTTTTATCATTTATTATTTTTAATTTTACCTGGTTGATGAAAATTACTTTTATACGTTTTATATATTATTTGTTGTTACTGCATTTATTCAATGCTTAATATTATTTTATTTTAGCTGAATAATAACACACATATTGTGTCGAAACTACGATTAATTAATTATTTTTTATATTGGTTTCATCGTCAAAAAATCTTTACCTATCTTTAAATTAACTGATATATTTAAATTCAAAATCATAATATTTATTACCATTTCAAAATATATAATATTTACTGTAAATAATTATTCAAATGATTTTTCTGCAACTAATACGTCGTCATCTCATAATGAGCTGTGATTATTCAATAAACTGAAATAATCTGATAACATAGTAATTAAAAGTTGTTATTAAATTCAGTTGAATAATTAGTTTATATATCTACATATATATATATACATATATAATAAGATTTTAATTATTTATTAATTATATGGGATATCGGTTTTCTTGAGGAACTACTAAAAACAAACACAACATTTTTTGTTTATCCACTTTTTTTTACCCTATGAAACTAAAAAAATTCTTCAGTACATATGAATATAAATTTAGATTTGTCTTTTTCTTGTGGTAAAATTCCTGTGAGTAATACAATTTAAAAATGTGGAATTCCGGGAACTATTTTGTTTTGTCATGGGTTTATCCGGGAATCTTAAAGTGAATGTCCTTTCTTCTGGATATATTCTTACTAAAATATTTCATAGGCCAGTTTAAAAATAATTCTTAGTTTCGGTATAAATCTGGCCTATTTTAAAATAATTTTTATTTTGTAATAAATAAAGAATTTAGATTCATTTACCCAAGGCCCAAGAGAAAAAGAATAAATTCATTCAAATTTAAAATTGCAATAGCCATTTAATAACTACTTTATTAATATCAATATGCAATTCTTCTATAAAATTATGTAAATAACGTGCAGCATGTCCTTTCTTCTGGATATATTCTTACTAAAATATTTCATGAGCCAGTTTAAAAATAATTAATAGTTTCTGTATAAATCAAGGATCTTACTTAATAAAAACTGGCTTATTTTAAAATAATTTTTATTTTGTAATAAATAAAGAATTTGGTTCATTTACCCAAACGAAAAAGAATAGATTCATTCAAATTTATAACTGCAATAGCCATTGCAATAATTAATTAATTACTTTATTAGTATCAAATTGTAATTCTTTTATAAAATTATTTAAATAACGTATTGTTTCAAATATTTATTATTAACTGCGAATATTTGTTTCCAATATTTGTTATTAACTGCAGCAGATTAGAAAACATTATTACATATCTTTTATCAAATATTTTCATTATGCATACTTCTGATATTATTTCTTATAATGTTATCATTCATTTTAATTTGCTGCTTACAATTATGTATACAAATAACAATGTTGTTGATGTAAAATTAATCCAAGCATGTAAAATAATTAACAGTTCTTAAATTCAAATTATGGGCTTTTTGACTAAAATAATAAAATTATATAAATATTGGAATAATTTATTTTTTTCTATTATGAACGTGTAACGCGGAAGATTGTGCGATATTTGCTAGATAGTTGTATAAAAAACTTATTATTTCTATGAATTATGCAAAATTGCAATCACAAGTAAATTATCAATAAACAAATTATAAAATTAGCTTCGGTTGCGGTGATTGAAATATTATTAACCAATATTATAATATGTATACATTATACATATTATGTAAAACTCAGTACAATGTTTTAAGAATTTTAATTCTACTATCATTGTTAGTCATTCCTTCATATCAGCTTCAAAAATTTTGCAAATTATTTGCTTCCTGATATAAAGATACCAGTTTCATTTTTTATCACCGGTTTCCTAAAATCTGTGGGTACGTGATAAGTATAATAGGAAAGACCGTTGAAAAACGGTTATCGTTCGTTTTTTCCTATGACTAAACCGGAATTATCCCTTACTTTTGCTTTCAAACTTTGGCACTGGGTGGAAAATCCAGGTGATCCCTATATACCCATAACAATCAAGTTATTAATGACTTGTTTACTATTACTACTACCAGACACATTAGAAACTTATTGGAATATTATTTGAATACAATGGAATCGTATAATAATTTTATTATTATATAATAGTTGTATAAATAATTATAAGATGATTAAATCTTATTATTTTTTATTTAGACAGAAATTTAAAAAAATTTACTTATTTCTGATTTTGTAAAGATATAATTCGATAGGTTTTTATACAATTTATTTGCATGTATAGCAAATCATTTTTGTTGTATGGTTACAATATTTATTTTAAATCAATAATATTCTTTTATTTCACTTTATTATTTATTTTTTTATTAGCATATTAAAATCATTGTAATGTTTTGTAATTAAATATATTATATTTGTTATTATTCAATGTTCAAACGATCTTCTTGCAGGAATATTCAATTTTTAAAAATAATCACCGATAATTTTTTGTCACCATGAAGTTTCCACTTAATATCAAGCAGTAGTGATATCGATTTTTGGTTTCAAATATAGATCATACACTTGTTATACTAGTGAATGAGTAATATTTGAATAATATAGGTTGAAATTTTCCACTTTTAATTTGAGTAAGTTCGAATATAATTAGAGTAATCTAATCAAAAAATAAATCAAAAATGGAATAGGATAACGATTGAGTTGTCTACTAATAATTATTGAAAATAATTAGCACAAATAACAGTTTTTTTATGAAGAGCAAAAACTATTTCCGAAATAAACATAAGAAAAATGTTATTTAAATAGCTAAATCTTAATTCTTATTAGTTGCTATTTAAATAACCAATGTGAACTGATTTATGCGCGTGACGTGTATACTCGTCAACACTCAAAATTCTGCCATGACATGTATATTTGTCAATAGTCGTTAGCTGGTTGTATAACAAAACCAAATGTATTGACTGAGTGACTCTACTCTAAAAACCCAGTGACTAATATTTTTAACTTCCCGTAAAATCGAAAATGAAAATTTTTGCATATCTTTACGTTTCAAAGATTCACATTTTACTTGTAATGGCGAAATGAATATTTTTTTTTTGTTACAATTTATTTTTGTTTATCAAGACTTTAATGTCTTATTTACAAAATTGATATGAGCAAAAAAAAAATACAAAAATACAAAAAAATGCAATGAATTGAATATAGAATGAAAAAAGTTAAATTAAAAATAAAATAAAAACAGTAATTCAAAATAATAACATAAATAAAAAATGAATAATTGATGAAGTTTTTGGTAAGGCAGGTCTAGCGGTTTGGAGATACGGAGGAAAAAGTTAAAATAAATGATATTTGGTGATCAAAATGAATATTAGTAGACCTATGCGCAAAAATTATCATTATTTGAAGAAGTTTTTAAAAATGATTTCTAATTTTTTTGTTACAATTATGTTGGGTTCCGTACCAAGATTTTTAATTTTTAAAGTTTACTTATACGGTTCAAGCTTATTTCAAAATTCTCCGAAAAAAGAATTTGAAAATTTTCAAAAATATACAAAGTTTTTTACTTCAAATATAAATTTTAAATTTACAATTTAGTTTCAAAATGTATATATGTATTTCAAATACGTTATTCCAATCGTATGAAATATATCCTCAGATGGATTCATTCATTCACCTCTTGCTAATTTATACTTTCTCAAGTGCTTTGAGCGATAAGATCCTCAATGTATATTTTATTAACGATAAAATATATAGTGATTATAATTATCTATTTGAAAATGTATAAAACAATTGTTGTAAATCATTGATCAATTTCTATTGTTTACTGATTTTTTCCTCGAATATAAAATCCTGGTACGGGAAGTTCCAGCATTTTGTCTTAAGGCACGATGTTATACAGCACTAGTCTGATTTATACGCATGACATATATACTCGTCAACATACAACATTCTGCCATGACGTGTATATTCGTTAATCACAGATAAACAATAAATCCAAATATATTGACTGAGTGACTTTACTCTAAAAACTCAGTGACTAATATTTTCTGTTTCATACTCATGACGTATATACTAGTCTTATATAATTATCAAGACACAAAATTCTGTTATAACGTGTACATTCGTCAACAACAGTTTAAATGATATATTCAAATCTATTGACTGTTCACTACAAATCCGACTAAATCCAATTAGTGACTTCATTCTAAAAACTCAGTGTCCAACACTCTCCGATTTATACCCATGACGTATATACCCGTCAACACACAAAATTCACAGTTAAACAACAAATCCAGATGTATCCAATTAGTGACTTCACTCCAAAAACCCAGTATCTAACATCCCACATCCATTGATCGATTCTGCGAACTATCCATCCATCGGCCATCCGCTGATGCCATCTAGTCCTAGTCGGAAAGCAAGAGCACGTCACACGTTGCGTCGAGTTCGTAGTCGAGTTCGGTCACTTTAGTCAGTAGTGATTGGTCTGCGTGAGAGGTAACATACATATCATTCCAACAGAATAAAAACAACTACATACCTACCAGCATTTATAACACATATCAGGTGGGACATGGTCCGGTGAAGAAATTGTTGTGTGTCTGTCGACTTATGTGTGTCACGGGAAAACGAAATAATAAATGAAATACTAGGTATAACTATAAGTGCAGTGTTATACAACAAATGGTAATAAGGCAGTCAGTGGTACACGTGAGGGATACATGATGATATCAAAAAAATGTTATTGGTAAAATAATTATAAGCTATAAACGAAAGTGTTCAAAAAGTTGTATAATTGTGTCTAAAACTATCACGTGTTTTCTATTTTTTTTTTTTTTTTGAGTTGCTTGTAACGACTGAGTACTTATACTCCCGGTATTCCCCAAAAAAACAATTACCAATACTTTGACTTACTAAAGTTTCAATTACCAATTACCAATTACCAATTACCAGTGTCCTCTGTCCTTCATCCTTTACCCTTTTGTTTACAAAATGTCACTGACCGGGTCGTCATTAGTCGTTATCTTGTTTGTGGTGGCAGCTTCCTGCATGGACAATTTACAAGTTGCTTATCAATGGAAACAGCTGGATTTTGATTATTCGAACGAAAGTGATAGACAAGCTGCGATCGATTCGAAAGAATTCATACCAGAAAATAATATACCTGTCGGTTTGGAAGTGTTCGGTGATAGGTTATTCATCACGGTGCCGAGATGGAAGCCTGGAGTTCCGGCATCTCTCAACTACGTCAAACTATCAGGTGGGTGGTAATTGATTGATTTTTATTTATTTATTTATTTATTTTATTTATTTATTTTATTTATTTATTTATTCATAAGCAGGCCGTAATCAATATTAATAGACATTATTTCTGATTTATTTTATATATAGTTGTTTTTGCTATTTTTACGATTTACTTGGTATAACGATAGAGTACTTGGTCTTAATGAGCATACTAAACCATTAAAATCTTACGGAATTGATAAAAATCATTGATTTTTGAAAATTTTCTTTTAGAAAATACTCCGAATTAACGTGTTCGTTCGTTTTCAATTATGTGTAACAAATCCACAATAAGTTATTGGGGTACAGTTTGTTATAGATAAGATGTATTCTATTTATCTTCTAGTAGTTATTAGTTGTTTTTTTTCAAAGATCGACATATATTAGGTCCTTGTGTCATAATTTTTGTCCAATATAAAGTGAATCTCGTTAAACATTTTGAATGCAAATACACAATCGATTGTTGATATATGTCGCATTTCAATTCAATTATAAAAATAAATTGCAAAAAATAATTTAAATTATATGAAACAATGCGTATGATGATGAATGGACTTATATAGTTGAAAAAAATCTGAATTAAATTTTTGTATTTTTAGTCGTTTCAAGGATTTTAGTTCTAACTCATGCATTATTAGAGCATGGAATATACATAATTTATTATAAAATAATCTGTATAATTTCTTATAATTTGTAATTTTATATTTAAATGCTTGATCTTGCGGATAACCGATTTTTTTCAAAAATCATGTTTTGTAAATATATTTTTATCATAATTTTTACATAACTTGATATAAATAGAATAATAGGATGTTAATTTCATAATAAAATCATTTGTTTATTTTTTAACAACAGAGCCCATGTATATTCTGGGCTTTGTTGTTTTTAATACATAGCTGGATTTAGCAAAAACCATAGAAATAAAGTGGCATTTTGCCTTAAGGCAAGAAGCAATAATTTCTCGATTTGTAATGAATGAAAATATTTAACTGAATCAATACAAAATAAATTTAGCACTTTTCAAAATTGCGATGATGAAAATTTGAATTTTTATTCAAAACCTGGTTTTGATTTTCAATAACGGTCTTGAGAAACATTCTAAAATATTGTAGGCCTACGAAAATTGGTTCATTTATGAAAACTCATCCAAATTTGCAATATTTGGCTTCGTCAAAATTCCGAAATTTTATCGTCACAATTTACAAATTATGTAATATTATGGATATTTTTTCATGATTAAGTCAAGTATTTTAATTGATCATATTTTGTAAAAATTTTGCAACTTGGCTTAAGGCAAAATATGCTTACATCTAACTTATTTCTTTTATTTGTGTTAAAATTCTACTATTTAATAAAAATTTCAGTCTTGCATTCGAATTGCTTGTATTATTCAAATAATAAATTATTTTTGTATTTTAATTATCCGTATTAGTTTTGTAATTTAATATTTTATTTTTATATAAACCAAGATCTGCAAAAATGATGATGAAAATATATTCATAATATCAAACACGATTTTTGGCAAAAAAATCGGTGTGTCGCGAGTTCAAGCAATTAATTAACGATATTTCGTAAGAAACGATATAGATTATTTTATAATAAAATATATAGGTTCCATACACTAAACAAGCATATAAATTCGAGCAAAATTTATTGAAACGACCAAAAACACAGAAATTTTTATTCAGAATAATTTTTTTTTGCAAAAACATTTGTTACGACTTGTTGTATACATAATCAAGTTCTTTTACCATTTTGATTTTTGTTTCATGTATATTATATCATTTTTTGTAATTTATTTTTTGATTGAATTTTATTTTTCATTATATTCAACAGCTTGTTTTGATAATATAATATTTTTTTCTCAATTATAATTGCTAATTACTGGTTATAAGCATAATTTAAAATTACATATGTGAGTCTAAAGATCATGGAATAAGAATTTCTATGTTAATGAAGAAAAATCGTGTGCTCAGAAACCATATAAACATTTAATTATGCTTATTAGTGTTTATTCTAACCTGAAGCTAATAACACAAAAAGATCTTATGGTAAATGGTAAATGCATTATTGTGTTTGAGAAACAGGTGTTAATTTTTCTGATTGTTTTTGTCAGACATAAACGGTGTATTTATATAAACCGCTTGGTGACCTTTCATTGTTTTACTATTTTAACTTTTTGGGCCAAAAAAAAATTATCATACATCTTTTGTTTGAAGAACTCATCTAACATACAAAGTGATAAAAATTCAATCGAATTTACAGATTCAAACATGAAAAAAATCCATAAATTCGTCAATTTTATTTACATTACTTCATCTACTAAATATGAATTTATTTTATCATGCAAGCATATCTATCATGAAGATACAAGAAATAAATAAAAGAAGTCCTCACATGTTTTTGTCATTTTTATTTATATTACGCATACAAAATTAACTTCATTTTTTAATTTTTTTGTTTAATCATATGTTTTACAATTATCCTTAGTGGATATCTAACAAATATAAAAAATAGATGTCAATGTGTAGAAGTTGCCAGTAAATAAAAAATAAAATTATTTTTATACAAATGTTTCTAAAAAAAATTGATTGAAATGGATGAAATTAATTTTTTCTATTTAGCAGATTTTTTCTATCTGGAGGATTTTTTTTAAAAGTCTTTTACAACGGCCAAAAAGTTTTTGAGCTTCTTGATTCAGATGGGATTTCAGTTTTTCTGTTTTATTTTATTAATTTCGGTGTAAGGGATAGTTTGAGATAAATCTTGCCATAAATCCTATATATTTTTTGCAAATTTTAAAATAATAAACATTATTATGCAACTTTTTGTTTCCAAGTACCATATTTAGAAAATACACTATTTTTTTTACCAAAAGTGCGATTTTTTGGAAACACTGACAATGAATTAGTTTTTGTAAAGATCAGTCAACAATTGCAAGAAATACATTGTTTCTCTGAAGTTATTATTTATTACTACTACCATTTTTATTATTTTGTATATTATTTATAATATTTATAACATCTTCTATTTGTATTTTGCACATCTCAGCATAAAAACTGATGGAATATAATCGGATGGAATCTAATTAGATAAAATGTTAAGTTGTTAAAAATTGATAGTTTATTTGGTACTTGTTTGTTGTTCATATCATAAAAATGTTACTTGTTTGAATGTTAAGTTAATAATTCTAATTGAATTGAATATTGAATTAAAATTCAAGGAATCTAATTTCTTAGAAAAAAGGATTAATTATTTACATTATAGAATCCGAAATATATAAAGAAGTATATATATTTATTCCATGATTTTTTTCGGTCGATGAATAATATTAAAATTCTTCAAAGAGTGACGATAGTCATCTGATATTTAAAACAAATACTTCCCGCAAATATTTATTTCTAAGCAAAAATTTATGTTCATTATTTAAAAATTTTCGCGGAAAACATAAATTGTGCCTTCAATTTTTAGCTAATAAGATGAAATTTTAGTCTAATTTGTATATAATATATGCTTAGGTTCAAGAAGTAAAATATAGTTGGAACATTTTTCAATTTTGCTAAATAACCCATATCTTGTATCCGGATATCTTTCCACTCTGTAATTGACGAATATAATCGTCATGATCTCGATTCGGACGACACAGTTAAGTGGTTAATCAAGAACAAGGAAGAATCATTAATATATAATTTCAATTACATAAATATGAGCACTGTTTCAGAAAATTAAAAATTGCACAACCTAATAGGTAATTATTACATTGCCTCGGCGGCTGTTGAATATTGCAAACATTTCGTGCCAAAAAGACGCAATGATCCGGTAATTCGCCGACTGGCCAATATAAAATAAATAATAATATATGCTAATCACAGTAGATGCAACAGACCGTTATGGATACGATATATATATATATATATATATATATATATATATCTGCTTCAAATACTTCGACTTCGACTTGGACTTAGAAATTTAATCCGAACGAGAATATTAATTAGTACATCTGATATTATGTCACGCATCAAAAGTTCGATGATCGTATGTGGAATCGTGTACACTTTAATGATTGCATCAATTTGTATTTAAATTCTATTAGATATTTCGATATTTTATGTAATATTAGCATTTGCAAGCGAATGAGATGTGAATAAAAATTTAATGCGAGAATATATTGTATAATGCACTTTGGTATGGTTATCAAATCGACTTTCGAATGTAAATATTGTAATAGCTCAATAATTAATTAAAAACATATTAAAGGGCACAACTAGTGTGAATTTTTCAAAAAATCGAATTTTCAATTTTTCCATATTTCGATAGGTTATACCTTTAAAAATAACATACAAAAATTTTAAATCGGTATCTTAAATAGTTTTTGAGTTACAGCCATTTAAAGAGTATATATCAATATAGTATATATAGTATAATGATCATTTTATCTTTAAACGCGTTTTTCTCGAAACAGCATTTTCCGAATTTGCTGCAGCGATTACTCAAAAACAAATGATCCGATAACTATCAAATTTTTTTTACATGTTCTATATATAGTTCTCCGTAAAATGAACTATCGATTTTTGATCGGATCAAAAATCTAATTTTGGCAGTCCAAAGACGACCAAAATTTTGGGTAAAATTCGACTTTTTTTAAAAGACGCTGCAATTTAATAAATTTTTGATTTTTTTATGGTAGTTCATTTTACAGGCAATGTTACATAGTTTAACGAGAATTTTTATTTAAAATTCATCGACGATAACTTAAAAATATTTAATTTTTTTCTTCAAAAATTTGACTATGTATTCTTAAAACATGTATAAATATATTCCTAAAATTGAATTGATTGATAAAGTAGTTTTTTAACATTAATTCCCGAAAATCACCTTTTTTTAGGCGGTTACACTAGTTGTGCCTCTTAAGAAAATTAACTGCTTTATCATCCTCAGTTGAACCTTATATTCACTGCATAACAAGGAAATTGT